TTTTATTCATTTTAATATAAAAACATGAAAAAACTAATCAAGAACAATGATAGATTGTAAGTAACTTGCATACGCCTACATATAATACTCTTTTTCAACACAATATATAAGGCTTTTTTAATCTAACCATCGTATAGATAGAGAATGTATTATTAGACAATTAATTATGTTTTATGTTATATGATAATATGTTGTTCTATTCAACTCAGAATGCAGATTTCATTTTACAAGATATACTCAATGCATTAAACAATTGCATCAAATTTTATTTCTAGACTATATTTAATCAGATTACTAGGTTTTTATTTATTATTCTTAATTATCTTTTTACATTTGAAAATATATTGTTTACTAATAGAAGTCAAATAGAATTGAATAGTCTATTTATTTATATTAAATATAATAAAAATTAGCCAAAAGAAGCACAGTTATGTTCATGGAAAAAGGTTTTTCATCGAACCCCTTCTAACAGTTGTTATTTCAGAGCAATTATTTTAATCTAATGCTTAGACATGTTTAAGATTATGCGCAACATTTCAGACTTGAAACTCTCGAGCTTTGTTGAAATTTTACATTTCTTGCAGAGAAGTGACACAATATTTTCCTCATGCATTTTGAATTCTCTTGAGAACACTTTCAAAGTATGTTGTTTTACATGTCTAGTAAATTATCTTAACTTACAAGGAAAGCTGTACCCATTTAGTGTGAGCATGAGAGAATTTAACATCTTCAGATTGTATACTAATCAATTTATTTCATTAATTTCCATGAATTATTTTTGAGCATTGAAAATGTAACCAATGCAGATGGTTCTCTTCGATTGATATAATTGGAAAAACTTTTAATGTTGTTCGAGCAATAATTAAAGCTGATTCTCATTGAACATCATTTCGTGAGTGGTTATTTCAATTATACTTGTCTGATAAAAGTTCTACAAAAGTTTTGTGCTCGATGAATATATTGTTAATTCATTGAGGATTGAAAGTAGTTTCATACTCGATTCAGTCGTCATTGAATGAATACATTTGAAGGAGCCAACTTCTATCTTGTATTCTACATTATCACTAGTGATAAACCATAGTTTTTATCATAATGATAAAAATACAAAGCGCCTAACCCTAATTCGATCACCGAATTTTATCTTCTTAAAAAAACCTTTATAACTTCTCTCCGCAATATCCGTTTGAGCTAATTTTTAATTTCCAGGACACAATAAACATTTCTTTATCTTTTCATCGGTTTTTTTTTTAAATTAATTAATCTTTAATGAGCAGTAGTCGTTACAAAGACACTTACTCAAATTTTTTGTCCGTTCTTCTCCTTTTCTAATTTCATCACTCCAGTTATTTTCATTTCCCAATTCAATCATTCAAGTCATTTTGCAAAGAGTACTCGAGAAAAACATTGTTTCGACATGAAAAGTATCTTTAATCTTAAAACAAATCACACTATTCGATTCGTCAGCTCCAAATCTATATATTCATATAGTTTTTATAATTCTTATGAGTAATTTTCATTAATTTTTTCTGATTACATTCGAAATGATGTTTGTGATCAAATTAGGTAACTGATCTTAATCTGATCACTCAAGCTATTTTGAGTTCCTAATTTGATCACCTAATGTAAAATACATGGAGTTTCAATGAATGATCGAAAAAAAGATGTTCGCGCTACCCAAAGTACGAAATTGCTAGTTGGTGCTTGTACAAAAGTTGTAATACAGACCAAAGACTATCTATATACAAAATGTGAGCAGTATAACTCTTATTTCATATGGTATTTCATCTTTGTCACATACGAAAGACTTTCATTCTTATTTGGTTTTTTTTCAATATTGTCAGCATTAGAAATTGAAATGAAAAAATTGTTTGAAATAAATGTATTCAAAGATTTTTTTTATTCCTAAACAAAGACAAGTGAAAACTTTATATACAACGGCTACAAAAATTCATTTATACGAAAACAAATACTTTCTAAAAGAAACAGTCTGAATTGATATATAACTACAGGGTGTTAAATAACCTTTACGCCCCTTTCTACAACTTAAATTATCAATGACATCATAAATGTATTTTATACCAAATTAAAGCGCGTCAAAAACTAGATTTATTGGTGCTACATGCCAAAGGTTATGTAGATATTTTAATATCGAACTTAAAATATTTTTAGAAATTTTATACTTTTTTAGCATAAATAATTAAGGTACCAGTAATTCAAAAATGAATCAAAACATTTTTCTTGGATATTTTTACATGGTTCGATAGAGCTCGTTGACCTCAACAAAACTGTGCATTTCAAAAACAATTGAGCCATCTCTTTGTGATAAAAAATTAAAAAAGCTACTTGAAAAATCTGAAAAAACGTTAAAAAAACTTATTTTTCTCCATTTGAAAAAAACACTCACTTTTTCAATAAACTTAGTTTTTTTCGTTACTTATGCTACCTCAGACATTTCAAAACGTATTTCTTCGATGCAGTTTTTCACGCAGCATCGAATGAACATATTTCAAAATGTCTGACGTAGCATAAGTAATGAAAACAACTAAGTTTATTGAAAAAGTGAGGTTTCTTTTGATATGAAGAAAAATGAGTTTTTTGAGATTTTCCAAGTAGCTCTTTTAATTTTCTATCACGCAACGAGGGCTCAATTTTTTTTGAAATATACAATTTTGTTGAGCTCAACGAGCTCTATCGAACCATGTAAGAATAACCAAGAAAAATATTTTGCTTCATTTTTGGATTACTGGTACCTTAATTATCTATGCTAAAAAAGTATAAAATCTCTAAATATATCTTATGTTCGATATTAAAAGGTCTACATAACCTTTACCATGTAGTACCAATAAATCTAGTTTATGACGCGCTTTAATTTGGTATAAAATACATTTATGATATCATGGATAATTTCAGTTGTAGAGAGGGGCGTAAAGGTTATTTAACATTTTGTATTATTGTAAAATGGGATTCAATAAAGCAGTATTTCATGATATAACAGTATTTCATGATATAATGCGGAAACAGTTTTGCTTTTAAATTTACTTGAAAATTACAATTAACACAGTATGACAGTTCAGCAGAGTATCCTGCCTTGCTTCAGTGGACCAAGCACATCAGAGCAGGATGCGAAAAAATCACCCTATGAACACATCTGATAGCTGCTTAGCAAAAGTTTTCAAACTGTGTCAACAGACAAACAAAAAACCCAATCTTTAAGATCTGAATTTTCATGGTGAAAATTCAAGACCATAGAAAGCTTGGAATATCAACGGGTTTTTGATAGAATATCGCATGAAAACCCTAATACATATACCAGATCTGAACTTATATTATTTGTTTCTGCTTTCAAAACTCAAATATCAACTACATAGAATGAAATTCAGCGTTGTCAATGCAATATTAACTGTTTTGAAATAAGTCATAAATGACCTCACAAAAGACGATCTCATAAACAACTTTCAATTACCTGGCTTAATCGAATACACAAGTACATTGTTCGTGAGGAGCAATACATTAAAAACAACTGGTGAAAAAACTTTTCGAATGCCTCCTGAATTTAAAAAGAAAACTATTTAAACTTTGTCTTTATCGAATGATAATTAATTTAGATGGAAATAATCGGTTTAAAACTGTGTAAGAAGAAAATATTCATGTGCATCAGTGAAAATAATTAAAAACATGACTAAATTCATAATGTTTACTTGAACCATGTGCAGTATATCGTTTATTTTGCAGTAATTGAATTTAATAAAAAGCATAGAAAAAGTACTCTAGAAAATTAGATAAGACCAGAGCTCGAAATCGAGCACTTTTTCATGGACTAATTCAGCGTACAAGTGATATGATAAGTTTGGCTAGGTCAGATTATCGAACTGAAAATAAAATCTATATGAGATAAGTTGACTTTGGTTGTTAAGTCAGTGACTTTTTTATTAGGATACGTCCATGAGTAGTGTACCATACTCCTGAATGAAAGTTTTTCTTTCGATTTTAACTGTTCAAAGACGCAAGGTACACTCGAAAATAGTCTGTATGCGGAAAGAAAAACGTTTTGTACACTTAAAGTTTGGAGGTCCACCTAATTCTTTGGAAACAATTCAGATTTTACATATGACAACCGAACACGCAAACTATTTTCGACGAGACGCTATCTTATTGGACAGTCAAAATCGAAAAAAGCTGTCACTAGGAAAAATGCCGAAAAGGCCGTATGATTGTCCTTTTTTCCAGAAAGTGGTACACTTCCTATGGATTTACCTGTGAATCGAAGTTGCAGAGTTCGATAAACTGTTATTTTTACGACTCCCACTATCGCTGACCGTTTATTTTTGACATACTTTTTCTGTCAATCACATCCTCATATTAATTAACGGAGTTGATACTCTACATAATGTTGCGTATGAATGAAAGATATGATCAGTGCTAGAGCCGTCCAGTCTAGAGATTTTTGTGGATCGATCTGCCTGACTCAAGAAAAAATCTCCTTGGACCAAGTGACCTATTTCAAGTTCCGGATTGTATTTAGAATAGTGAAGGTCTTTATTAAAACATGCAATGATAAATGAGAGTGATGCTTCTATTATCTATTGTTGATGATCAATATTTCTAGATCTAACTATCATTACAATCGAAGCTAGAAAGTTTCGAAAGAAGAAAAAAATTCAATAATCAAATTTTCAATAGAAATAAATAATTCTACTTGTGAGATATACAATTCATTTAATCTATCTATAAAACTTCACTTTTTATCGAAAACTCAATATGTCAAGAAAGAAACATTCATGATTATCTCATGTATTTATGAATATTGTTCATTCTTCAAACTCTTGTTTTTTGGTTAACAAAATCAATTTATTTTTACTAACAAATTTTAACTTCTAAAAAAGATTAATATGTCCCAAATACATAGCATAATTCATAGCAGTAACAACGCTAAATTTTTCGAAATGTATGAAATTGGAAAAGAGAAAAAGCGAAGAAAAAGCAGCAATGAAGATCATTCATTAAGAGTGACGGGTCATTGCAGCTCTTCTAGCTTGTCGAATTAAATGTGCAGCTTCACGATCACCAGTTTGAGAGACGAGTTCTGCAAAGTGTGATTGGTCCTCACATAATAGTTCATAAGGATTTGCAAATTCCATGACTTGACCATGAGATAAGACCAAAATTTTATCACTATCAATGATTGTTCGTAGTCTAAAATAAAATTACATAAAATAAAAATGCACTTTAAACATATATTGTTTGAGTATCAACAGCATTGGATTGATTTACATACTATTAGTATCTCTAGGAGAGTATTGATGAGAGAACATTTTCAACTGATCAATCGCTTTCTCAT